CATTGCACAAGCAGTGGGAGTGGTTAGTCGGTACATGGCAAATCCAGGCAAAGAGCATTGGAATACAGTAAAGAGGATCCTAAGATACATCAAAGGGACCTCAAATGTTGCATTATGTTATAGAGGATCAAACTTACTAATTAATGGGTATGTAGATTATGACTATGCAGGGGATTTGGATAAAAGCAAATCTACTACGTGATATGTGTTCAAAGTTGCTGGTGGAGCTGTAAGCTGGGTTTCAAAATTGAAGTCAGTTGTGGCTACGTCCACAACAGAGGCAGAATATGTAGCAGCTACACAAGCCAGTAAAGAAGCAATTTGGTTGAAGATGCTATTGGAGGAGCTTGGGCACAATCAAGAGTATGTCTCTCTGTTTTGTGACAGTCAAAGCGCCTTGCATCTAGCAAGGAATCCAGCATTTCATTCAATGACTAAGCACATACGAGTTCAGTACCATTTCATTCGTGAAAAGGTGGAAGAAGGAACGGTAGATATACAGAAGATCCATACCAAAGACAACATAGCAGATTTCATGAAGAAGGCGATCAACGCTGATAAATTTACCTGGTGTCGATCCTCTTGTGGCCTGTCAGAGACGTAAGCAACATGATGGTACAAGGTAGAAAGAATGGTGTGAAGATATGATTGTTCCAATCAAATCTTCAAGTGGGAGATTGTTGAAATGTCAAAGCTTGGAAAATTGGTTCAAGTTAGGCACCTAATATTGCAATGTCAAAATTAGGTGCAACAATGTCAAAATTAGGTGCAATAATGTTTGAAAATTAAATGGGTAAATTATAAACTTTAGTCACTAAACTTTAGGGTATTTATAAGATTAGTCTTTAAGTTTCAACTATAAATACCCTAGCTCATTTAGCTTCAAAATCATCCCAAAGCATTCTAGCTTTCTTCCAATACTAGAGAGAGTTTCTTGAGAGTTGTTTTCTCTTTTTATCTAGAGAGAATTATCATTGTTTTCTCCTTGGTAGATCGAGAGAGGTTGTAATTCCTATTTTCTCATAGTGAAATTCTTCTACCGTTGCCGGTAGTTTTTACCCTAAATTTTTAGGGGTTTTCCACGTAAATATTGTGTCTCTTTTATCTTCATTTTTATTTTCTCAAATTATCAGTTGCGATTTTGCTCTATCCGATAGCCGTCTTCCGCAACAGCGAGGCTCAACGGGTTGCCATTTGTGCTCTTCTTGGTTAGCAACAAGTTGATAACATGGGGAAATACTTGGGAATTCCGGTCATCCACGGTCGCACTCGTCGTGCCCATTATGAGTTCATCTTGGACAAAATTCAGGCAAGATTAAATGGTTGGGCAGCTCGCACTCTCTCCATGGCAAGACGCATTACCCTTACCAAATCGTTGTTAGCGACAATACCTATTTACTTCATGCAGACTACCCGTCTTCCTTCTAGGGTGTGGTCAGAAATTAACAAAATCATTCGCCTTTTCATATGGGGGTCTACTCCCACAAACTGGAGAATCTCTCTTGTTAATTGGGAGTCTCTTTGCCAGCCGTTCAACAGAGGAGGCCTCGGAATCCATAGAACTTAAGACCACAACACCGCTTTTATTTGGAAGCTCGGTTATAGTCTAGTTTCTCGTCCTCAGGCTTTGTGGGTTTAAGCTCTTAGAAATATCACATGTCGGATCTTTGCCCAGACTCTATATATCGACCCTGTTCCCCCCCCCCCCCCCCCCCCGAGAGCCTTAGCCCAAACTTGGCCGACATTCCGCTCAAACCTTATGTAGTTTCCTGGAAATGGACAATCTGTGCTTTTTTGGGATGACTGCTGGATACTTTTCGGGGGACCCTTAGCCATATCTTGGATCGTTCTCAAATCGGCGCCCCTATTTGTTTCGAGGAGCTTATGGATCACGATGGAAATTGGGAAAGAGACAAGCTGGAACAATTCCTTCCGTCTGCCGCAGCCAATCGCATCATGGGAATTCTGCCTCCAAGTCCTTCAGCGGGTGATGACTGTTGTGTTTGGCACCGGAACCCAGGTCACAAGTTCAGTGTCGACTCTGCGTATTGTACTCTAGTTGATAGTAATTGGGACGCCGTTGATTCGAAATTGGCAGCTGTTTGGACCGCTCCGATTCCCCAACGCATCCGTCTTTTCCTTTGGCATATCCTCAAAGAACGCGTCCTCACAAACTAGGAACGATGCCGTTGAGATCTCTCCGCAAGCTCGACTTGCCCCCTCTGTTGCATCTCTGAAGAATCGATACTTCATGTCTTGAGGGATTGCCCAGCAGTCTCTAGCATATGGGAGTCAATCCTCCCACCTGGCCTTTGGACAGCTTTCTTCTCCATGTCTTTAACGGATTGGATAACGTCTAACTTGCAGAGCAAGGTCAAGCTTCCAGGTATGCATATTTCCTGGTCGATCTTCTTCCCCACGTTCTCATGGCACGTATGGAAACGGCGGAATTGCTTTGTTTTCACTGATAATGGCTCGAGTATACATGGAACTCTCAATGTCGGCCTTGCTTGGTCTAAGCATTTTGAGGGATGTTCTCTCTCCACTAACACGAGCAATGCGAGGCACCTAGCCTTGCTCCAGTGGAAACCGCCCTCTCATGTCGATTACTGCCTCAATACCGATGCATCGATTGACTGTCGCACTGGTTTTGCAACTGCTGGTGGGGTTCTCCGCACGAACGAAGGGACATGGCTCGGTGGCTTCCACAGAAGTCTGGGAATAACCACTCCATTAATGCTTGGAACTAAGGGGTTAAAGCTCTACAAATCCAGTCTGATAGTTACCAGGCAATCCAGTTGCTCCTTGACCCAAATGCTTGCTCCTCGACACTGCCTCTCGTCAACGCCATAACCTCGTTGTGTGCTCGTAGCTGGTATACAGAATTTGTTTGGGTTCCTCGTGAAGAAAACATGGTCGCAGATGGTATGGCCAAGCTCGATGATGTCTCGCTGCACTCTTTCCACGCTGCTCCAGACTCAATCTTGTTGACTGATGACCGAGATGTCCAGTTCCTCCCTATGTTAAAGCTGTTTGTAATTAGGCCTCTAAATGAACTGGACGTTCAGCGAACTGTTCATAAATCGTGCGGTGAGAAGTTCGTTTATTTATTAAATGAATGAACATGAATAAAATTTTGTGTTCGTTTAATTAAATGAACGAACACGAACAAAGGGCTCGTTCGTTCATTTACGTTCGTGAACGTTCGATTATATATTCATTTATGTTCGTTCATTTATGTTCGAACAGAGGGCAAGTTGAATATGTTACTAAGATTATTGAAGTTTTTTGGATTTCAAGAAGATTGTTTTGTTGAACAAATTAACTTTAAGACTGTATTATGTTCATATAGCTTATTTATGATTTATGTATATTTTTGTCGTATTCGAATAAATTAACTCTAAAGTTGTAGGTTATATTAAAGAATTTTAAGTTATTCTTGTTGTTTACTTTTTTTACATTCATTTGTTTTGTTCGAATAAGTTTGTTTTTTGTGTTCGTGTTGTTCGTTTATGTTCATTTATTATGTTCGTTTATGTTCATTCCGTTTGTATTCGTTTACGTTCGTTTATCATTTAAATGAACGAACATAAACAAGTTATATTCCTTAATGAACGAACATGAATAAAAAAAATTTGTTCGTTTATGTTCATGTTCATTTATGTTCGTTTATTTATTAAATGAATGAATATGAATATACATCCGTTCGCATGCGTTCGTATGCGTTCGTTTACAGACCTATAGGTAGGCTTATGCCTTCTTTTTCAATTCTCTCTCTCTCTATATATATATATATATATAATTCTTTTAAAATTTTGTTGATAGAAAAGGGTGGTCCGTTACAAATGCATTCGATTTGATAAGGCTTCGTTGGGAAGGTCCACAGACGTTGATAGTGTTGGACTCCAAATAAAGAACCCAAAAAATATAAAGAAAAACATATGCATGTTATTAAAATAATATAAATTATAAAAAAAATATATATCATATTAAATATGTAAAAATTCACATTTTTGAGTAAGTTTATATAAATAAATTATGATATGTGTTAAATATTTGATTCAGTTAATTTATATATCTATTTTTGAACAATGAATATCAATAAATTTAAAACATAAATTTCAATAATATCGATAGTCGTTTCCTTTTATATCATGATCACGATCTCTTTCGTGTGTGCTATAGCTGTGTGGGATTGGGACGTAACCTTCATTGTCCATGAAAAATGCCAAAGGACACTACTAGTTCATGGGTGATGTTGATCAATTATGCCAATTATTACGAGGGAGAAAGCTCTAGATTACAAAGATAGCAAATCAACAATTTTATCATTTTCAATTCATAAATCTCATAGAATCCCTTGAGTGGTCTTAATAGTTAAATAGAATATTAATCTCCTTTTAAGGTCCTGAATTCGAACAGATCTATAGAGTCGGACCTCTTATTATATTCCCTATTTAATCCACACCTCCAATTACTGGAAAGAGAAGGGGAATATATTCCATGATTTTCAGGTGGCAGGGAAAGGCCATATAGCCTCACCTAGGAGACAAAGGCTAAAGCATTGAACCGACCCCACAATGACATGAACAAAGCAGCAGCAACCATTGAACCCTAGAGATCCTCGATGGTCCAGTTCAATATGTCTATATTGTTCCTCTGCAATATATCTGAAATATGCAGTTGAATTAAAGCATCAGATCCGACACTTTTGCTTCTCTCTTCATACAAAAAGGCTGCTACAAGTGAACCGGCAGTCAGAGATGGAGCTTTGTCAATGTATAATACCAACATTAGATACAAATAGCCCTTATGCAAACACACTTTTTGGCCTCTTCTTATCCTATGTTCATTCACCTCAACTACTGCTTGTAAATGTCATCTCTTTCTCTCTGCAATTCTGCGCAGTTTTAGCAACTTGGTGTAGCCTTCAGGCTCTCTGCATTTTCCTCATCCAGAAAATGACCCATCAAAACACACCATTAGATTAGTGGAGTTGTTTACAGACAAGAAAACATGTTTAAAACAACAAAACAAGTTACAATGGTGAACTGTGGTGATGGTGGATCATGGGAAGGAGCAGATGAACTGGTTCTTCCATTGTACAAAGATGTGTTGTTCTTTTTATTTCCCTTGAGATCACAAGGTTGTCGTTGTTGGGGACATGTTACATTGTCAACCGTGCCTTGTTTGTCCAAGCAAGTCCGAGTTTGTAGATATGTTGAGATGTTGTGGCTTGTGCATAGCCCATTGTTGCCTCTAACATCAAGTCTTTCCCCTAGTCTATTGATGAAGTCCTGTGAGAATGGTAGTTCCCCGGTTAGCTTGTTGTGGCTGAGGTTAAGCTGGTCTAGATTTGGAAGGTTCCCCAGATCTGAAGGGATTGTGCCCTTGAGACTGTTGTTGTCAAGCGAAAGAGCTGTAAGGTTGTTCAATGAAGACAAGGAGTTTGGTATTTCGCCTGTTAACCCACATCTTGAGAAGCTGATATAGGTCACTTTCTTGAGGGACCCCAGAAATAAGGGAATCAATGAATTCATGGGGTTGGAATCAAATATTAAGTACTGTATGTGCTCTAACCCTGAGAGAGTTTCAGGGAGTGGACCATGTATGGTGTTATAGCTCAAATCAAGCAAAACCAACCTGTTTAGCTTCCCTAGTTGTGATGGAATCTTGCCATTGAGCCTGTTTGAGGAAAAAACAAGCTTTTGAAGAAGATGAAGCTGACCTAAACCAAATGGCACCACCCCTTCAAGGTCATTGGAGCTCAAGTCCAAAATGGCTAAACTCTTTAAGCTTCCAAGCTCTTGTGGGATTTCGCCACTTAGGTTGTTGTAACTCAGGTCAAGTTGCTCCAAGTGGACTAACCCACCGAGTTCACCAGGGATGTTCCCTTGTAGATTGTTCTGTGACAAGGTCAAGACCCTTAGCTTTGAAAGATTCCCCAAGCTTGAAGGAACTTCACCGGATAGAAACGGATTCGATTGAAGTGAAAGATGCTCCAAGGAAGACAGTGCACCAAACAACGTGGGAGAAACCACAGCCGTTGATGTCAAAAAACAGTTGAAAATAGAGAGGGATTTGAGGTAAGGTATTTTGAGCAAAGAATCCGATATCTTTGCAGCAGGTTGGCATGGTGTGGAGGCAACATCAGGGCCGATATGAATAGTTGTAACGTGAAAAATTGGTGGATCTTGATCTTTACCTACCTGGCACTCGATTCCAGGCCATGGCGTGTTGGTGCATGGCTCAGGGTACAGTTCGGACCAACCAGGTTCGTCTACAAGTGAAGCCATGACATCAAACAGTCCCAGAAGCTCACTTTCTTCCATCACCAAATCATTCTCTGCAATCACCCCACATGAACAAACAAGGAACCCAACAAAGAAAACATGAAGAGAAGCCATGAGAGAACAAGCTCAAACTCAAAGCAACAAACATCACACGGATATAAGCATTCAGAAATGTCGACTGTAGTAAAGGAATATCTACCAGTTTATTGCTTCAACCCTTCTCATTGTGTGTCAGATAAAAAAAAGGCTGCTAGATGGCGTTGATGTTTTGTTGCATATGAGCGGTGCGGAGAACGACAGTGAGTATAAGAGGAACAAAATTTATATACATCAAACGAAAGGAAGAGGGAATATTTATAGAAAAAAAGTAGTAGAGTTGTAGAAGTTTTAAGCATGATTTGACATGGCTTTTCCTCAGTATGATGATGAAGCCGACCCAACATTGCATTGCTTTTGCAGAGAAAACAGATTCCCTCACTGTCGCTCTATCTATGCGTGTATGTACAGTGGGATTGGCTGCACGCCACCCTACATGTTTTTGTTTCCTTCAAATAGATTGTGGAACATCTAAATATGCAATGGGGGAAAAGAAATAGCAAACAAACTATCTTTTAGATAATTCTTTTGGATGAATTGTATGCCATTACATGTTTTAAGTTAGTGAAACATTATTTTCTTTATCCCTTATCCAAATCTCAATCTAGTTATTCTGTCTAAACCCCAACACTTGAGAATGCATGAACTAAATCTCAACGTTGAATATAAGACAACATATATCATATAAATATAATTGTTCGAACCCATATCCTCAGGAGAGAACCACATTCCCTTTTATCACTAAATTCACTCATGGAATTCTTCACCTTACATTGAATACCTCTATGTTGAATATAAGATGGAGGATTAAAACCGTAATTGAGAAAAATAAATTTTGTCATTTACATTGAGCAAATGATCAATGGTTTGTTTATTGAATCCCAAACCATGCGCGACCCAGCCCACTCGGCCCGAGTTCATGCGTGTGGTTAACAGGCTTGGGCATGTGTATATGCAGATCAATGGGTTTTGCACCATTGATAACCACCATGAATTTCTCCTGTTGAACGGACTTTGAAGACACCTTATCCACAAAAATGAGTTCAAAAAAAATCAGTTCCAACACTTAAAAGGAAGCTTGCATAAGCATGGAGATGCTGGCTTCTTCTCTACAAACGCTCCCATCTCCATTGCCAACCACAACAACTTGTTCATCAGAATCTTCATGTAAAACTTCAGTTTCCACAAGGAGAAGAGCAGTTGTCTCTGCTTCAACTGCTGCGATGGCTTCTTTACTCCAATTTTCAAACCCCATTTCTCCTCTATGTTCTGCCATCGCCCTGCAACCACAACAAGTGGAACTTGATCAAGAAGGAGATAGACTTGTTCATCTGTTCCAGGAAACCTCACCATCGGTTGTGTTTATTGAAGACCTTGAGTTAGCTAAAATCCCAAAGAGTTCTTCCAAGGAAGATACGGTTTCCCAGGATGAAGATGCAAAAGTTCAAGGGACAGGTTCTGGCTTCATCTGGGACAAGTTTGGTCATATTGTGAGCATTTTCCTCTGCTTTTCTTTCTGCATTTGATTTGTAACTTATACTATAGATAACGATTTGCATATAATGTAACAGGTTACTAATTACCATGTTGTGGATAAATTGGCTACCGATCAAACTGGGTTGCAACGATGTAAGGTGTTTCTGGTTGATGCTAGAGGGACTAGCTTTACCAAACAAGGGAAACTTATTGGCATTGATCCAGCCTATGATTTAGCTGTTTTAAAGGTATTTTCATGATCAATGCTAAGGGTGCTTGCTTTTCTTTTTCTTTTCTTTTTTCTGTATGAACAATTGAATTAGTTTTTCTTCTTGCTTTGAAATTATTTCCACCTGCCGGTTGATGTTGAGGGCTATGAACTAAAACCAGTTGTGATCGGCACTTCTCGGGACATGCGTGTGGGACAGAGCTGTTTCGCCATCGGAAATCCCTTTGGATACGAGAATACTTTAACAACAGGGGTATATAACTGTTTAATAACTGAATTACTCATGACATCCGATCCGATATGACCAAGAGAAGTGATGGTGCCTTACCGGTTGACGAGTCGTGACAAAGTTGTTATTTGCAGGTGGTTAGTGTATTAGGCAGAGAGATACCTTCCCCAAATGGCAGGGCTATTAGAGGAGCAATTCAAACAGATGCTGCCATTAATTCAGGTGAACATTAGCTGGATTTGATTTGTAAGCTAACATCCAAGAATGTTATCTCATTTGCAGACCCAATATTACTGTACTCTTGAAGATCAGCTGTGATACACCCTATATTTCCCTGCAAGCAACTCCGGTGGACCGTTGATAGATTCATACGGTCATGTCATTGGTGTTAACACCGCAGCTTTCACTCGAAAAGGTAAGGAGATCACATGATTAGTCCTTTCGGTACAAAGAAAAGTGATGCAATGTCTGTTTTCCCTTTTCTGCAAAGAAAATGGTTGATCCTATTACACGATCTTGCAGGGACAGGAATATCCTCCGGTGTGAACTTCGCGATACCGATCGACACAGTCGTGCGAACGGTACCGTACCTTATTGTGTATGGAACCCGATATAGCAACAGGTTCTGACACAATATAATCTATGTTACGAGGACTCTTCATTTTCGTTTGAGTATCTATGTATATTACCTATGTCAAGACTCGAATTTTACGAAAATCATTTTATCATTTATATATGGATACATGTTTGTTGCTCATTGTTTGTTAGGGGACGTGAGGGAGACAAATGATTGCAGAATCCTGGGTGGTTATGTGATTATTTATAAAACAGAAGGGATATAATATTGTTGCATGAACCCTACTTGGACTTTGAAGGCTAGGGCATACATTATTAGGTTAATCCATTATTTGGACATTATTGTTTAAACACATGCCTAGCTGGACTTTAATTATAGTTTTATAATTAATTAATTATAGTTTTTGCCAAAAAAAAATTGGGTGGAACACTTGTTGGGAAAGGCTTGGTTGTTTGTTCATCATTGTGCCATGCTTTTTTCATCGCAATCATTAAGATTAGTCTTGTCTCCAGCAAGATGATTTTTTTAAAATAATAATAACAAATAATTTTGATTTATAATATGGAGGAGAAAAGTTTATATAAACTAAAATCCAAAACAAATTAATTATATTATATTTACCAACCATTTATCTTAAAATCATCAAATAGTAAAAATTAGTCGTTAAGTAATGAAAATATGATTATATAAAAACGAGTCAAAAAATTAACCAAACAACTTATAAATAATAAAAGATACAAATAAAAAGCATTGTCAACTGTAACGGATAAACACCATCAACGTTGACACAATAATAGAATATGACAACATATTAACAAGCGACTTGATTATAATTAAAACGCAATAAATTCAAGTGATTTGAAAGCATCAATCTGAATGTTCAAAATAAAGATACATTAATAAGATAACAAATAACCTCCAACCAAAAGACCACACTATATTAAATCTTAAATGATAAAAAATACAAAAACATTATTACAATAACATATAAAAACATTTATCATTTTCAAATGAAAATGATTAGTTCAATGATTCAACAGAATAAAAGTAAAAGAAGACGATAATAGAAAAAATGAGTATAGGTGAGAGGTTATATTTAACGTGAGGCTAAAACTCAGTTTTTTTATAGCCGAATCTTAGGTTATTCTTTTAGTGCTCAAATTTATCTACTGGTCAATGTTGTAAAACAAAGAATTAAAAATCTTATTTCTCAATGATATCTTCTGGTTTACACAAAGACTCCTCTTATAGGCTTAGACTCCTTCTAGAATTATAACAGCTGGTCATTTACGTTAGAACAACCCTACCAGCTCATGCAACAAACTTCACACGTAGCACTAACCAACTTTCCACACAACACAGCTCTCATATTTGCTCAACATTCTCCCTACTCTTCAGGTTCTTCCATGACACGAACTCTTTGTTGAAACACTTGAAAAGATGATTTAGTCAACGATTTGGTTAAGCCATCAGCAACCTGATGGCCAGCTAGTACGTAATTGACGTTCAGCTCTTTTCCCACTGCCTTCTCATGAACAAATCACATGTCAAGCTCTACATGCTTCATTTTTGCATGAAACACAGGGTTAATACTCATTGCTACTGCGCTTGTGTTGTCGCACCATACTACAGGTATTGCATTCGTTTCTTCATCCATGTCAGCAAGCAATGTCTTAACCTAGATAACTTCAGATACCACATCTGTAATACTGCAAAATTCAGTCTCGGTGGTTGATCTAGCAACCGTTCTTTGCTTCTTAGAACTCCAGGATATTAGATTGTTACCAAGAAATATGCAGGAACTAGACACTGGTCGAAAGTCATCGGCATTGCTTGCCTAGTCAGCATAAGCAAAGGCGATTACCTTCGAAGGAGATCCTGCCTTAAAAAATAAGTCCATGATGAACTATGCTATTTAAATACCGTAAAATCCTCTTTACATCTATCCAATGTCCTTCACATGGGGCATACATGTATTGAGCAACTCTATGAACACTAAACGTTATATTCGGACGAGTGTGTGTGAGATAGAGTAAAGCTCCAATGATACTTCTAAAAACTGAGGATCATCAAGCATTTTACGAGATTCATCTGTAAGCTTGAGAAAAATTGCCATTGGTGTTGGAGTTGGCTTTGCTTCATCTATTTTATTTTTCGCTAACATCTCTTTAATGAATTTTTGTTGGCAAATCACTAGATGATCATGAATTTTGGTAACTTCAATGCTCAAGAAGAATCGTAAGTCACTAAGATCTTTCAGAGAAAACTGATCACCAAGACAGTGAATAACCTCTTTAACCACACTATTGGAGTCACTGGTGACAATAATATCATCAACATAGATGAGTAGGAATACACGGGTGCCTCCAGAACGTCAGATAAACAAAGAGGCATCAGCAGTAGATTCTTTAAACCCTTATTGTATAATATACTATTTTAATCTTGCATACCACATCCTTGGGGTTTGCTTTAAGCCATACAAGGTTTTTGTTAATCTGCACACTAACAGTTTGTCATTAAGAGATCGTTGTTCAAAACCAGGAGGTTGGATCATAAACACTTCCTCACTCAATTCTCTGTTGAGGAAGGCATTGTTAACGTCAACTTGACGCAACACCCAGTTATTTGAAACAACCATAGATAACACAACATTTGTCGTAGATGACCATACAACAGGACTAAATGTATCTCCAAAATCATGCCCAGTGACCTGTGAGAATCCATTGGCAACCAATTGTGCTTTGTGTCTCGCAATAGTACCATTAGCATTGCGTTTCATTTTGAATAACCATTTACACCCAATGGCCACGCGATCGGGTGGAAGAGATACAAAATTCCATGTAGAATTTTTCAAGAGAGCATTATACTCATAAATAAAAACTTGTTTCCATGTTGGATCAGCAAGAGCTTGAGAAATCGATGTTGGCTCTACCTCTTCTTCAAAGGAGATAGCATCAATTGAAAAAACCTTGGGTTTAAAAATACCTAGCTTGCTTCTTGTTATCATGGGATGAACATTTACTACATCACTACATGGTTGTAGTTAAGCAGCAGGTATGTTATCACTTGCATGATGCACTACTTCTTGATTCGGTGAGTTCAACAATACTGATTGGTCATTATTATCTCTTGTCAATACAGATAATGTTGATCAGCACCAGTAACAGAAACAGTTGGAAAGGAAGTAGAGTTGTTAATTAGTTGAGCACAAACATCAGGTGAAATTTCCTTTTGAGATCGAAAACAATTACCAAAAAAATTACTAGCTCTAGGAACCACCCTCAAAGTAAAACTCAGAGTCTGCATAGGATAGATTTTTAATGAAGGTAGCTTCTTTTTATCACATAAGGAAATACACCTTCATAAAAAACAATAAAACGAGAGATATAGACCCTTCTATCCGATGCTAAACAAATATAGCCTCGATGTTGTATGCTATAGCCAAGAAAAACATAAGTCTGGGAGCGAAAGGACAGTTTGTGATATTAAAATGGTCTAGTATGAGGAAAACAAAGGCACCCAAACACCCGGAGATGATCATAAGTTGGTGTCTGATTAAACAACTTCTCGAAAGGAGAATAACCATTAAGAACTAATGTGGTAGGCGATTAAAAAAGTGGACAGCTTTGACAACTGTATAATACCAAAATCTATAAGGTAATGAGGCTTGAGCAAGAAGAGTGATGACCATTTCCACAATATGGCAGTGTTTTCTTTCCACAACACCGTTTTGCTGAGACGTGTGAAGATAAGTTACTCGATAATGAATCCCATCCTATAAGAGAACATTAGTCAATGGACGATACTCTCTACCCCAATCGCTTTGAGCAACCAAGATGTCAGAGTTAAATAGAGTACGAACCAACTTTTTAAACAGATGAAAGACCTTAATGGCTTCACTCTTTTTCTTTAGAATGTATAACCACTTATGTCAAGAAAAACCATCCACAAAGGATAAGTAATACTTAAAGCCATTAGATGGGATATGTGCAGGACCCCAAAGTATGTAAACATAACTTGAAATGGTTTAGTGTAAACAGTGTTGGACCGAGGAAAGGGCAAAGTGTGACCTTTGCCCATTTGGCAAGAAGTACAAAATGAAGACTTAGCTTTATTAACATTTCTCAAAGAAGAATTACTACAAATGAATCTTAGCATTCGTAAAACATCATGAGAAGGATGACCTAAACGATCATGCCAAACATCATAAGTAACCTTAGATCCACTATCCATATTCACCATAGGTAAAGAGTCTTCATTGGACGAGCAAGAACGAAACTCATATAAACCATCAGATTTCACCCCACGCAGGACCACAACTCCCGTATCTTCATCACACACTAAGCAGTTATGAGCATGAAATTCTAGAAAAACTCACTTATCACGAGCAAGCTTAGATACAGAGATAAGATACTTTTAAATACGAGCCGTAAAGAAAAAGAGCCATGATGCAAAGAAGTATGACCAAATTTATTGATAGGCAAGGAGTTACCATTACCCATTACTAACTTACCAGGCCCAGAGTAAGCAGTACTATCAGCGAGTTCCCCAACATTAGCTGTAACCTGATGTAGCACCCAAGTCAACACACCAAGTAGTCATATTGCCAGGTGAAGATAAGTTTCTATGGACATGACTAGATCCACAGTACCCAGAATTTGATGAGCCAGAGTTATGATGACACAAGTTCGCAACTGCATTGTTAGATGATCCATTGTAGCCAAAAGAAAATACACCATGGAAAGACCCATCAAAGCGATACCAACATCGATAAACTAGATGGCCAATTTTCCCACACAACTGACATTGAAGTTTGTTATGACCTCAGTCTTGACCACCAGAAGCACTCGAAGGTCTTCTTGACCTACCTTCGAACCAGAAGACATCTTGTTGGTAGTAGAGGAACCAGTGGAAACCTGAGCAACATTAGCACTAATATGAAGATTATCAAATTGATCAAAGTTCTTTTGTTGTGTTTCTACATCAACAAGTACGGAAACAATTCCTTCCAAAGTGAAAGGTTTACGACTCACCGTAATTACAACAATAAAAGGACGATACTCCGGTGGTAAACTGTTGAGGATGGTGGCAATGCGTTTAAACTCTGAGATAGGGTAGCCACTGTTAGGACCGTCGGCTCACCCTATAGCACAAC